TAGCAAAACTTCTTAAAAGCTTTATAGATATTGCTTTGACTTTACATATATTTGTAATTGATTGATAGGTTAGAAACTTAGTCAATAAGTTAACCACTTGTTAACAGCTTATAAAACAAGATAATTATGTGGAGCACATATATAGAACTTACCTTTTAAGTTAAGATATATGTCTTGTAAAGTCAACATGTTTAAGACGTCCTATAAGACATCACTTATAAATTCTTAGTTAAGAGTATATATATAGAGGCAAGAGTAAAACCTTCTTCACTCTTGTCAGTACCTTTCTAGTCCTTAGTCTTATTTCAAAACTTTTTAGTCTTCTTATCTTTGGCAATAGCCATTCTAGTTTAATACTATATCATCTTTGAATAATTTTTTAGTCTTTTTGAATGACACAAGAATATATTGAGGTTTTCTTTCTTCAAGATTCATTTTCTTAACACTTTGTGGTTTCTAATTGCTGTTGCACTAGCTTTTGTCCCATGAGCATGTGCTCATTAATTTCAAATTGTGCATAGAATCCCACACATGTAGTTGCAAACATGGCTACCTCATAATTCCAACTTTTGTTCAAATTACTCATGATTTTGCTTAAGTCTACACCTTGGTTCAAGGATCAAATACAAAAACACTTTGTTAATTTTTTTCAATTAAACTATTGTGGCAATTTTTTCTTTTTTTACTTTTTTTTTTCTTTTACAACACTTCAAAACCTTATTTGTCATCTTGATTTTTATTTTATTTTTTAAAAAAATGTGTCACAAATTGGTCAAAATCACTAAGTTGGAGGTTTAAGGTATTTTGATGCTAGACATGGATGGCTGAAAGCAGGGACGAGGAGGTCAAGTCATGCCCATGTCAAAACTTGTCGTAGAACCCCCTTCATAAGCACAGGCGTGACTCAATCAGCTATTTTGTAGACATCGCTGTCTGAAACACTTCTCCACCTTCGCTCAAATTCTCCCCGATTAGATCCTTTCCTTCATCCACCTTGTCCTAGCCCTTCTCCGCCCAGCTGAGTCTTTCCACATCATTGACTGTTCTACTAACTGCATCGCTCAAGATTCTCTCTGATTCTTCGTTCATTGTTCCAGCCGAGTTATTGTTTTCTTCGTCGTCCATGTCAAGGTCATCAAACATCCTTGATTGATCAGTTAACTAACGACCCAGTTGATGTAGTTCTAGACATTGAAGCAGCCAGGAAGAGGCAACTATTTCTATCATCATACGTTAGGTCTCCTAACGCAATAATTGCACCTTAGCCTACATGAGGATCTAACTTCTGTAATGACCTTATACGATCGTTGCATCTCTTGAATGCTCTCAGCGATGGTATCAACGAGATCGTGTGCCTTTGATCTGGGTACTTGTCGTTGTGAGTACTGGTAGAATCTTGAAGTACAGCAAAAGGCACTTTTGCTAACAACTGCAGGCGCAATGTTGAGAATCAACGATGTCATTAGCTCTTTTATGTTGAATTCAACATGTTGTTAAAAATGTGACCAAAAAAAAATTAAACCTAGCTTGAAATTGTTGCCTTCGATTTCAAATTGCAGAATTTGTGACAGTCTACTTTCCACCAATTCAAGACGTTTCTTTTCCGGTTTCAAGGTCAAAAGGTAATGATTTAATGTGTCATCCTGGTGAGCAGTTTGAATTGTGCAGCCTGATTAGTAATCCTCACACAAGTCCTTAAATAATTCAAAGATTACATATATGTACGCTTTCTCAGCAGAAGTAACATTCTAAATCATATAAATCTTAGGATTCCATAACCTGCACAACGTAGATAAGGTACACATCCTGTTGGAGATGATTGTATGCCACAAACACAGAGCCTTTCTCCAATTCAGCAACATGGGCTTGGACCGCATCAATAGCATGCGAATCATTGTTATCGAATTCCCAGAGTTGGCGAGCAACTTGGGAAGTGAGTTCCTGAGATTTCAAGCTGAAAAAGCAAAACCCGAGATCGTTGCCGTTCAACGCAAAGGAGGGCCTTCCACCTGAACTCATCCAGCTTCAATTGCAAACTTGGATTGTCAGCGCCTCCTTGTGTCAAGGCTTCCAGAAACGTCTTGTTGAGATAATGCTTTTGTAACTTGGCATACACAGCTTTGTGGCCTTCTAACATGTTGATCCAGCTTTCCGTGTATCTGCCTTTCATGGCATACAATTTTGAGGTTTTTTTTTTTTTTTTTTTTTTTTTTTTTAACTCGCAATTGTAAATCTGATGTGTCTGCGAGATAGAATGGTAAAAAACATGATAAAATCGATGACTTCTAGCTGATCAACTAACAACTCTACAAGATGGGCTCAAAATGCATGTACGAGTATGAAAATTCGGAGTGACCTACCAAGATAAGTTCAGAGAGGAGTGTAACGAACTGGGGCCGTGATGGAGGCTGCAGTACACTACGAGGCAGCCACACCAGTATGCGATTACTACTACACTGGTTTCTGCCCCGGTCGACTCTGTTATTCCCAACACAAAATATGCTTCACTTCATCGCTAATGTTTCTACATACGATCAATCTGTCGTTCTGTTTTTCAGTATGCTTGTTACTGCACTCCTTTCTACTCATCCTCGATACACTTTCAATTGCATGTGGAAGTCAAATAATCGAAAAATATCACTCATAACATATATATATATATATATATATATCTATATTCACCAGGTTTGATCAAACAGTCGATACTTCATGCAGTCAAATACGCCAACTGTACAGCTGGTGACAAGAACCAACACACAGAAAACACTCTTCTATCAATAACAAAGATATATATATATATATATATTGCTGTTAGTTGTGTGGAGTGCAGTTGAAAAATTCTGAGCATCACTCACCACTTGTTACTCATTCAGCAAACCAATAAGGGCAACACTCAATGTGGGTAGACTTGATAAAAGTCTTTGAATGAGCATTCCTCCCTTACATGATTTGTGGGTTCCACTGGTGGAGTTATTAATTTTTTCTGCAATAAATCATCAGTAACATCCTTCTTTTGTTTTCTTACATTGTGGTTGCATCCCTTGACTCACTGTATGTTGGTCTCAGCAAAAGTGGTGTCAACTCTGTGGGTTCTGTGTCTAGCAAATACAGAGCCATTAGCATGCTGTCTTTCTTCTTCTTCTTTCTATGTCAAATGAAATTATAAGAAAATGTGTGTGTGTATGTGTACAGATATATATATATATATATATATATGTATATAAAGTTATTTTATATGTACTTGCAAAAAATTAACGACATTGGAAATCAATTAGATGGCAATCTAAAGTTTAATTTTTTAAAAATGATATCAGTGTTATTGAATGAAGCAACAATAGAGATAATTGTCATTCAATACACACATGTTTGTCATACCATTATAAATAGTATAAAAAATTAATTTAAGAAGAAGATGATGTGAAAAAATATATATATTAAAAGAATATGATTAATTGAATTATTAAATCTTAATAGAACCTAAAATAATTGGAACTCAAAATATTAAAGTTATGGTGAACAATTTTTAAAAAATCCACTCTTATAGTTTTTGAATGTAAAAATAAATAAAAAATCTGAATAGAGATTCAAGGAATTGTGAACCCCAAAGAAATCAATATATACAAATGTTTGTACATTTTATTATTTGATTTGAGTTCCGAAAATTTAAATAGCCACAAAATCAGTGGGTAGCATTAATTCATGTGCATACTTTGTGTAAGTTAGTAAAAATGTACTATCACTTATTTCATATACCTATCTATTTATTGGTATTACTTCTACAACAAATTTTAGATCTACATCACTATATAATATGAAGCACAAGTTTATAAAACTCTTAGAATTTAGAAACTTATGAATACATTTCGTCACGTCTCCTTAAAATTAAATAAATAAACACTTTTAAATCTATAAACTAATCCTCATAAGTTCCATTATCTGACTTAGTGAAAATCACTTATGTTTCATTTTTAAAATAATTTAAGTTGGAAGATAAAATAAGAAAAATAGGAATACCAGAAATAAAATAGATCAAGAAGTTTTTCCACATTGAATTTATTTTTGAATAACTCGCAACTTCTGTTTGATTTTGAATTATATTATAATCTTATAATTGCTCAGATTTCTGTGAACAAAATCTATTTAATTTTTTTTTTCTCCAATGAAATTTAGAGCATAATTTCTTTAATACATTCCTTCCAATTTCTTAAAAATTTATTTCTTTAGGCAATATGATAACAAATCTGCTCTTACATTCATGGATGCCATTGTCTTTATTTTTTTCCGTTCTAATTATACAGCATGAATTTTTTAATTAGAAGACCTTCAATTGATAATTATTTTATTTTATCAAAATTATAATATCCTAAAAAAAAACTATATTCAAAACATCTTTTATGTTTTTATTTTTGTACAATATTATGTTTTAAATAAAATCATGCTTAAAAATATTTTTGAAATTCAATCAATAGATTACACATTTTTAAATTTACATCATCTCATGCTGTCATAACCTTCCTCCTAAACATAATCAGTAAAATAGATGGATCACACAGGAATAACCAATTTCTAGAAGCCAAGTACTGAAAACAATGATTTCTTTATTTATGTACGAAAAATAAAAAATGCCAATAACTTATGTGAAAAATAAAAAATGCCAATAACTTATGTGAAAAATATATATATAGACAATTCCTCACCACTTAAGTTTTGACAATCTTATTAAACTTGTACAACAAATTGTGCAAACCAATTTATAGTATGGCTTCCATAAACACACAGGAATCTAGAGTTCCATATCACCCACTAATTCATTCATCCATGAATACATAGGCATATCCACTGTGCGAGGCATTCTAGAAGCGCGGGAGTCTACGTGGGCCGGCACCGGACCTACGGGAGAAGCTCCCGCCAAACCCTAACTTGTGCGGTCCCGCCTCGCTCCCGCCATGACCGGGAACATCCTTTCACTGGACACGTCGTCTCAGGGATCAGCGTTGGTTTACCGGTGTTCAGGGGTGGGTAACTGGACTTAGGACGGGCTCGTCCAGTCACCTCTCGTTCCCCTTCGCCGTCACTCTTGGAGAGCCGTTGCAAAAATCCATCATCCTGCAGAAGCCATAGCCAATCGCGAGGTATTGACGCCCCTTTCCCTCAACGTTTCGTCCCCCTTCCCGCCTCGAGAGCTCTCTTGCTATGCCATAGCTTCATTACCGGTCACTAGGAGTGTTGTGGTTTTTGTCTTTCGCTGTGTGGTGAAGTATACAGTCTGATGTGTTCGATATTCTGTGTGAAGGTTGGGATTATTAGGATTTGGTTGGTTTCTGTAAGTGACCAGGAGCTTTTGAGGGGCTGGAAGGCTCCTTCACAAGTTAAGCTGCGCAGTTTCAATCTGTTGATTACAGGTTTAGCTTCGATGTGAGTTACCGTTCCGAGTAGCAAGGCTGGATTAGAGGGGTTTGGGCGGGAGCAAAAGCGTGGTTGGAAGCGTGAGCCGTAATTTAACATACTCGTGGAGGCGACGAAGCTTTGGTGGTGGTGGTGGTTGTGGTCGTTGTGCCGGGGAGATAATGGTGGTGTGGAGGTGAGGTACGAAGAATGTGCATGCGTTGGAAGTGCCGATGACTTAGTTGAGTATTTGGGAGTGTTAATTGGATGGTACTTGTAGCAGAAACGCGTTTTGTCACCTTCAGGTATGTGGAGGATAGTTTATCGCGTCTACTTTCGCTGCTGCGATTGTTCGATTGACATGGAGTCCGCTACGCTGGGATCAGTTAGAAAAGGTTGCGATGCAGCGGTGGCTTGAGCTTAGTTCCCCTGTTGGATGTTTTGAGCTATAGAGGTGAATTCCTAGCACACGGGCTTACTCACTTGTAAAGTGCATTTTCTCCAATTTTTTTTGTTGCCATTCTGAAATTTGGAAGCTTCTTCTAGTGCTGGGTGGTCCTGCTAGAAGAGGGGATTCGTGAAAGTACGCGCAGAGGTTTTGGAACATGATTGCATAGGCGTGTAGGATTGGAACTGGATGGCATGTCCCAGGAAACGTCCTACAGAGTTTCAACGCATGTTGTACTTTGTTATGAGATAGACGCATGGATTTGGTGCAAACGAAACGACAGGCTACGCTTGATGATCGTACCATCTCAGGGGTACTGAAGGGTGGATGTGCTCAATTATGCAACACGTACATGTAAATGGCATTGGCGATTTAGCTAAACCTTGTTTCGTGGATAGACCGCGTGTTAGCATCCAGTTTTAAGTATCGCATCGGCGATTACAACGACAGAGTAAATGGACCGCCCCATCGAAGGGGCAGCAAGGAGCGAAGATGGGCCACAGACTAGGAGTAGTTCAGCTGCCAGGTCACTCAACCTGCCCGTTGGCATGTCGCGAGACGCATTGCATCTTGACACCATTGCTAGGCGATCATGGCAAGGATTGGCTTCCCCAATGAAGCACGGTGTATGTACAACCACCTCATCGCCCACCAGGACCTCTTACAGCGACAGGTTCATCCCTAGCCGATCAAGCTCAAATTTGACAGGGTTTGCACTATTGGATCGATCTCCATCCGGAGCCAACATCTCGCAAGCAAATGATACCAGGGAAGAAGGGGGTGCGGCCTACTCAATGCTGTTGCGGACAGAGCTGTTTGGGCAAGAGGCAGGATCGCCGGCTACGCCTGAGAATAGGACGGGGATCAGTGCAAGAGACCCAATGCGGTCGCCCATCAGTCCAACTGTCAGTCGTAACCTGTTCCGATTCAAGAGTGATCCCAAGCCGAGTACCGGGTCCAAGGCGCGGCCAGAGAGACCTTACGATATTTCTCCAGCCGGGATTGATAGTTCGTTGGCGGGGACTCCCATGTCGCCCCGGAAAGCCCCAAGAAAAATCGCGAGATCTCCTTACAAGGTATTGGATGCTCCAGCGTTGCAGGATGATTTCTACCTGAATCTGGTGGATTGGTCGTCAAACAATGTTCTTGCGGTTGGGTTGGGCACTTGTGTGTACCTCTGGAGTGCATCCAGCAGCAAGGTTACGAAGCTGTGTGACTTAGGGCCCACGGACAGCATCTGCTCCGTAAGTTGGACTCACAGGGGTACGTACCTCGCTGTCGGAACTAACCTTGGAGAAGTGCAGCTATGGGATGCTGCGAAGTGCAGAATAGTGCGCACAATGGGTGGCCATCGAACGCGAGTTGGGGCGCTAGCTTGGAACTCACACATTTTGTCATCCGGCAGCCGAGACCGTAATATTCTCCAGCGGGATGTCAGAGTTCCAGACGACTTTGTAAGCAAACTAGTAGGGCATAAGTCTGAAGTATGCGGATTAAAGTGGTCATATGACGATCGCGAGCTTGCGTCCGGTGGAAATGATAACCAGCTTCTAGTCTGGAATCGTCAATCCACGCAACCAGTAGTGAAGTTTAGCGAGCATGGGGCTGCTGTGAAGGCTATCGCATGGTCACCTCATCAACATGGTTTGTTAGCGTCTGGAGGTGGCACTGCCGACCGATGCATTCGGTTCTGGAACACTGCCACGAGCACTGCTTTGAATTGTTACGACACCGGGAGCCAAGTGTGCAATTTGGTATGGTCGAAAAATGTAAATGAGATCGTGAGCACCCATGGGTACTCCCAGAACCAGATCATTGTCTGGAGGTATCCAACGATGTCCAAACTCACCACCTTAACTGGGCACACAATGCGGGTTTTGTATCTCGCCATATCTCCTGACGGTCAAACGATCGTTACTGGAGCTGGTGATGAAACCCTACGATTCTGGAATGTCTTTCCCTCCCCGAAATCGCAGAGTGTGGTCCGTGACAATGAGGTTTGGTCTCTTGGGCGAACATACATTCGGTAACTGCTCTTCAGGAGAAGGAGACCCCCTCCAGCACTCCAATGCTTACATTTTAGTCCTGATGCTGTATTATGAACCCAGGTCACTCATCTAGGTTTAGGCTTTTTTTCTTTTTTCAGATGCAAGTCCACAAATTCTTTATGGTTGCAGGATCATCCCTCCGAGAACATCAGAACTTGTTGCGTGGCTGCTGTATGTAATATTTGGTTCCCAATCTGCAGCTGTGCATCCTGCATGTGGTAGAGTGGAGGAGGTTCCTACTCTTTCAATCCCTGTTTGTCATGCTTGTCTCGATCCCTCTCTGAAAAGCATTTGGAAGTACCCACGCAACGTTGGTGTGGGTGGTTGTTTAAACGAATGATCTCTTCGTAATTTGTTCATACCTCGAGTTTTTTTTTTTTTTTTTTTTTTTTTTTTTTTTTCAGATTTGGTATGTAGTGCTCAATTCACAGACACCCATTGTGTTAGTCGGACTAGCTCTTGAGAAATTATACCTTGCCCTGCAAGACTAGCCCAGCAACTGCATTGATATCTGGGAAGGCTTGCATTGTGCAGCTGTCCGTTAGAGACACTTTCAAAGGGCTTGAAAACAAATCAGAAACCCATCATGAAAATATTTGATTTAAGGTGAAGCTGGTCGATATTTTCAATAGCAAAGAAGAGTTTGTGTTTACTTTGGTTGAATCGTTCAATGTTGCTTCGATTTTTGTTCACAAATCTTGCTGATTAATTTCGTATTGAATACTTTTTGCAACTGCGCTTACACGCTTAGAAAACAACAATGCAGAACGTCAACTGTTGAATCCATACGTATGGAACCTAAACAAAGTTCTGCCGAACACCGAGGAATAGAAACAAGAGTGCTAAAAATAAACAAAATAATTAAAACGAGTAGAAAACAACGACAGGGGCAGAATGGATTAAAAAGCAGAGTACTGTGGGGTGCATTGGAAGGAGAACCACCATCGACATCGAACAAAGCGACGAAATCATGCAGAGACGACGACGACGACGACGAAAAGTCTCTCAGAAATAAAAGTCCTGCAAACGTAAAGGAAAGGAAGGGAAGGGAAGGGGAGGACGATTTTCCTCCGACGCCATCGCCAGCGCCACTTGCGATCCCGCAACGCACGCTCACTCACTTCTCACAGGCCTTGCGCAGATCACATGCCCTTTTCCTTGGATTGATTGGCTCCCCTGTCAACCGTTTCATCACCGATTCAGAGACAGACCTCGTCGTTCTCTTGTTGCTGTTGTTGTAGTTGTTTTTATTGTTATTTTTTTCTCTGGGGGAGTGCGGGCTTATTGTATGTAGAGGGAGTAGTGGCGGGAGGGAGGGGGATTTGGAGTTTTGCTGGGTGCGGGAGCCATGGATCAGAGCTCGTTGGAGGCCGTGGTGGTGAGGCTGGAGCAAGCAGTGTCGAGGCTGGAGACATTGGGGTCCAGAGCTACGTCCAGCTCGGCCGATCGGGGGATTTCTTCGCTCGTCGGTTTCGCGGACCCGGGCGCGTCTCAGCCTGCTGGATCGGCCAGTCATCTTTCCGTTGAGGCGTTTGATGAATTAGTGCAGGCTAGGGTTGGTAGGGTGCTCGCCGCGGCGGATAAGATCGGTGGTGGCGTTCTGCAGACGTCGCAGGTGTTGCAGCGGGCTTTCGATGCTGAGAAGGCTATTGTGCGCGCCATTTCTCAGTGCAAGGTGTGTGTGTGTGTTTGATCGCTCTACCTCTGTTTGCAAGTGTATTTTTGTGTGTGTGTGTGTGTGCGTGAGAGAGAGAGAGAGCGAGAGAGAGAGAGAGAGAGAGAGAGAGAGAGAGAGAGAGTTTACACATAGAGGCATTTGCGAAACTTAATTTTCTACTGCGAGATGAGACACGATTCTCACCTTCTTGAAATTTCCTCACAAGGTGCTTATTCGTAGATAGCGTTTCGAGTTGTGATCGCTGATCATATGTTTTTTTAATTGTTGGATTGAAAGCGAATTGAACGCAGTAAGGTTCGCATCGTCGTAGCGGCGTTGAGGATCAACGTCGTTGTCGTTTTCTTCTTCTGCTTCTCCTTCTTTAATTTATTTTTAAATGTCTTAAGAGGACTTCTTTGTTTAAATGGTGATCAGCGTCATCCATTTGTTACGTCCAGGTCAGATTTAGGTGAATTATAAAGAGTATGTAGTCCGGCGAGCATGCTTGATATATTTTTTTTCTCTAAAATGTTCATACAATCTAGTGCATTCCAGAATCAGTGTAGAAGTTTAGGGCTGAAGTACACTTTTATTCTGCAGTCATCCATTTTTCTCAAATCATCAATGTCATACAGATTAGTCGGGACATAATGGTTCTCGTTTTTATTTTTGTGTTTTGTTTATTATTTTAAAACTTGGATCGAGTTTTCCACTTTCTACGGAAGAGAGTGACTTGAGAGAAAAGTGTAGTCTATTTCGGAGCTGAAATTACAAAGTTGATAACTCTTCTAGGTCTTCTAGACAGCGTCTTCATTACAGCGTTTTCTTTCACACATATCTGTTGGAGTTGGAGTTGGAGTTTAGAGGTGTGTGGTATTTTAAATTTACAAAGCTATTTGGAATTGCAGCGGCCAGATCCAGCAGCATTGCAAAAGGTTGTCCAGCCACTGGTTGACGCTCTTACCAAGGCACATGGATTGACTGAGGGCAAGAGGACGGAAGCTTTCAATCATCAGAAGGCTGTTGCTGAAAGTCTGTTGGCCCTTAGTTGGGTCTGCTACGCCGGCAAAGATTGTGGTACTGAACTTGAGCTTTTCGCACTATTCATTGGTGGATTGCACAGTCGCACTCTTGATCTCCACTCTTCGGTTGCATTAGTGGATAATTTACTAAACCCTGCTTAAACTAGTATTGTTAAGTTCACGGATTGTCCTATGAGCTGGTACATTTTTCCGAGCTTGCTGACTTTGTAGCGCCGATCTCTTGTTTGCCTTGTTTGGTGGAGTGGACTTGTTGCTGACCTGAAGGATAGAGTTAGCATCAAAAATCACTAGTTTTTCCGTTTCAGATATGGTTTATTTTTAATTTACTAATTAATTGATTTTTACTTTTTTACGTCTTTAGTCATATTTTGTATTGAAACATTACACCTCTTGGGTACTCAAGAGCGAATTATCGCTTATTTTGAAGTGGTTAGCTTTGAGGTAAGTTGACGGACTCCTTGTGGGTAGGTATGAGTCTTCCAGGTCCACATGTGGAGGAAAGCTGGCAATCTGCTGAATACTACAACAACAAGGTATTGATTTGTTCCTACTACTAATGTTTTTCAAGTATGTCAGAGGTAGGTTAAGTACGTTTGGACTTGAAGTCGTGGGCAGCTCACCTCGCTGTCCGGACTTGAGCTTCGGCGACCCAATGTTTCTTCACTTTTTTGTCTCTTCATTGGAGGGTGTTTTAGAGGACTTTATATTCCTTACTGCAGATCTTTAATTTGCAAGTTTTCCACAACGTTATTCCTAACCTTCAGCAACATGTGTGTCATGTTACTCGTTATCCATGTTGTTCTAAGAAGTATATGATTATCCCTTGGTTATTCTCTCTAGTTGCTGATGTCTTTCAATTGACGATGGCATGAGTTAATCTTGTGTACCCGATCGCTTCTGGCATGCGACATATTACAGGTTCTTGTGGAGTACAAGGGCAAGGATGCTAATCACGTTGAGTGGGCGCGTGCCTTGAAGGAGCTCTACCTGCCAGGCTTACGTGACTATGTTAAGCAGTTTCATACCACCGGACCTTCCTGGAATACCACTGGTGTTGATTTATCTACTTGGTCTCCTGGGAGTCCAGAGTCTGCCAAGAAGACAAGTGCACCTCCACCTCCTCCTCGAGGGCCACCACCTCCTCCTCCAAGAGGACCACCACCACCTCCTCCACCTGGTTCACTTGCCCCACCCTTATCTGGTGCTTCAAGTTCTACTGGTGGAGCCCCTCTCAGCATGTCTGAAGTTCTTAAAGACATCAATAAGGGAGAACAAGTAACCGCGGGTGAGTTTGCCAAAGCTTGGTTGTATCATTCTCTGTTTTTCATTTTTGAAATTGATGTGTCTGATAATTGTTTCTCGTTATTGTCAATTTCGCTATGAGTGTTAATTTGTATCTTCGTAATTACAGTCGTGTTGGTTAGAATTCTTGACGAAGTCTCCTCTTAGTGAGCAGCTGCATGATTTACGAAAGTGTCGGAATCATTTGCTTTCTCAGATGCCGCTTCAGTAGTTTTGATTGTTTGATCCTTCAAATAATGATGTTCTCAAACAATTACCAAATTTTTTTTGCAGGTTTGAGGAAGGTGACTGACGACATGAAGACAAAGAACCGTGCTGACAGGAGTGGTGCAGTTCCAGCTGGTTCTGCACCTAGTGAGAAAATTACTGATGCTTCTACTGCAGCTTCGCCCAAGATAGGCACCCCAAAATGCGAACTTGATGGTCGCAAGTATGCCTCCCTTCGATTTATTCGTTGTTATTTTTAGTTTTTGTTTTGTTTTTTGTTTTTTGTTTTTTGCGTTTTGTATTTAGTCTTCTTGCAGTTTACTAACTCCCCCGATTCGTTCAATCATCTGCCCAAGTGATTGTCCACTTTAATTTGATATTTCTTGACAGCCAGTAGATTTTTTCTTCTACACAATCATGACAAACGTGGATATCTATTTTTGGTATCATGCATGCCATGCTATCTGTATAGAATCCAGCGGATGCTCCCCTTGAAATATATAGATATTGTCTGTGCTTGAGGAAGTTGACTGTTTTGATTACTAGTAGTGCTTGTCGGGACAATGATTTAGTATCGTTTTGAGGCTTTCTACCACGAAGCTATTTTTTTAATTTATTATGTTTATTTTGTGGGGCAGGTGGGTAGTTGAATATCAAGTTGGTAACAGAAACATCATTCTGGATAGTTGCAAGCCAAATGAATCCATTTATATTTTTGGCTGCAAGGATTCAGTTATACAGGTTCAAGGTAGGAGCTCAGATCACCTAATTGAGTCACTTGCAAATGTATTTTTGATGCTTTCGACAGTCCGTGCATAATTTGAGCGTTATAACTTCAACTTTTGTAATATTGTGCTTACTATGCTTTCGTTTAGCGAGGATTTTAATTCAGTATTGTATATGGATCTAACTCCAGTTGCTTGCTTTATCAAACCATGAAGTTATTTACACATTACGAATGACCATGCCAATGCCGTGGTGTAGCATCTCTTCTGTCCTGCAGCAAATTTTAACATATTTTTAAATAGTAACTTTGGTTTATTTGGTCCGAATTGTATAGATTGACGGTGTTGTCCGACTGCATAGAAGTTGCAATTTGATGTTCTTTTGGTTCAGAGGTCTTGGTTGTCATCCGAATTAGCTTTACACTATGAACTTGTTTAAGCCGTTGAAAAGGAATGTGCTTTATCTCTGAGCTTTCAACCAGCCAACCCAAACTGGATCTGTTTAGACAAAGGTTGTGTCGGCTCTTTGTTTTTGATGTGATTTACATTGTTCAATCCTTTTTTGCAGGAAAAGTGAATGCTATCGCCTTCGACAAGTGTATCAAGTCTGCACTTGTTTTCACTGTAAGATGTTTTCCCTTCTTGCTCTAATCTTTGGTTGCTATCAGTGTGTCTGGCATCTTCCTAGCGAGTAGAGACACAATTACCAAATCGTACTGGAGCTTCATTCCCATGAGCAATCCCAGATTCTGAGTTCTGCAATGGGGACAGGATACATTGTTTCATACGCCATTTCTTTCATTACCCATAACTCCACTGTATTTCTGCATGACAGTTAACTTAAATGAGCGTTCGTGCAAATTTTATTTATATCTGGTACTGACAACTTCAAACTGTTTTCTCTGTTATCCACAGGACGTTGTGGCAGCTTGTGAGATTGTGAATTGCACTAGCGTGGAGGTGCAATGCATGGTGATTCTCGAATCGGCTTTTCTTTTCAATATTTCATTTTGATGTAAATTGCTGGTATCTAGTAATGATGTCAATAGCCGCCACATTGTACGATGGACGATGCCCTTTTCCGTGTCCATGTGTTTTATTTTGATAATTGAGAGGGTCTACGCACGCAATATTTCTTGTTGTAGGTTTTGTGTTGCCTGCAACACTGGTTCATATTCTTTTCTTTTGCTTCGAGGAAATGAATGAAGTAGTATGTCTTGTCCCTTGTCTTGTTTTACTTGAATCTTTCCCTTAATATAGTGTCATTCAATTCAGGGCACTGCACCAACAATTTCCATTGACAACACCAATGGATGTCAGCTCTATCTGGGGTTGAAGTCTCTAGATGCTGCCATCACCACTGCCAAGTCAAGTGCTGTCAACGTGCTTGTACCGGGCGCTACTGAGGATTCTGATCCTGTGAGTTAAATTTTTGCGTCTACGTTTATCTCCCCTGTATATCTGTACATGAATACCAGTTTATTCATGGAGCCTACTTTGCACTTCAAGATTCGCGGCTACAGTATTTCAGTATTTCAGATGCTTGTGTGCGCTAAAATGTGCAGGTGGAGCATGCATTGCCGGAGCAGTTTCTCAACTCTTTCAAAGACGGGCAGTTCACGACCACCCCTGTTTCACACTCTGGTGGTTAAAATATATGCAGAATTGCTACCTTTCAACAGCTTACAATTTTCAAAATCAAGATAACTTCAATCTACCAAGCGAGGACATGTCCATCGCAACCATTATCTACTGTGATAACTATTTGTAGTTTTCTGCTTCAAGATAGATTTGGATAGTTGCACTTGATTTCTCGAAGTTTCGTCGCTCTTATCCGGTCTTCCAGTGGACCGACAGGTACATTTCGTCGCATGGCTTCCATTTCCTTCTCAGCTTTTCTGGCCATGATCTGATCATCATATGATACTAATTGTGTGAAGTACCCTTTTTTGGGTTCAATTTTATTTTTATTTTTATTCAAATAGAATGTTTTCTTTACATGCTTTTGGTCGTGCCATGAGTGTCAACCCACGTATCCCAGCAGCAACCAAGAAGTCGATGGCTTATTTTTGCTTTTGCAGTCGCATCATTTTTAAATCAATGAACTGCTTGTTACTTTGAGTAACCCCTGGACATGGTAATTTGAAATATTTCTCACAGAAACACTACTTTTTCAATTCGAAGTTTTTAAATGAATTGGAACGAATTTTTAAAGAAAATTACACTTATCTTCGGAAGAATTGATCCGCAAACAACAGTCAACATAGTGAATGGAAGGCAATTGTTGGGCAAGGGGAAGTTATTGGTAGTAAACTCAATTATTGCATTTACATTGACAAAATGTATCTCTCATTTATATCATAGAGATGAATATTATCCAGTAGGTTACCATCTAGATATCAATACTAGAAGAAAAAGATTGTTCTACCTGGTGTTCTTCAAGCTTAACTGCAATGGGAGGAAATAGAATCTTTCTTCATATATTCATTTTAAATGGAAGAGCAAGAGTTGAAAATCATAGAAACTCTTGTAAGGTGGTAAGTTAAAACCTTGTTCCAAACAAGATATTGAGTTTGAATCTAGATGTCAATGGTAGACCATTATTCTTTCTTTTCTATTGTTAATCACGTGTAAATATTTTGAAATAAAGCATTTTCACATGGGCTTATCACTTTCTAATTCTTGACCTAAGTACTTACCAAATCAAAGATGTTAGTTCTAACACAGAAAGTTTGGTTAATTAATTAATCATTGCATCCAGAAAAAATACATAATTTATATTTATGAAGCTCACAATTAATATATAAATCACTTGTAAATAATCACCAAAAATATTGAACGTAATTTTAATGTTAGAAATTAAAAATAGTTTTTTGACAAAGAAAGTAATGATTTTAAAAAAATGTATCTTATCACAACTACCCACCAAATAAACAATTTAGTTTTTTGCATTAGTTCCTAATCAATATATACATCTAGTTTTTCATGTTTTATTCTTTGAAGAGTATAAATATAATAAGTTAGAAAAAGAAGTTCTTTAAAACCAATTTTAATTATACATAACACATCACAATTCAATAGAATGTTGATGAAATCTTTAATTCATAGATTAAATACAAAACTTTAGATTAGTTAATACATTGGAAACTATATAATACATGCAAAAAAATACAAAAATCATCGTCTAATATAGAAATTGTTGTAATGATTGCAAAAGAGTTTCTTCAACCATATTTGTATAATAAAAAAATACATTAATAGAAAATAAAAAATTACATCACACAAATAACATCAATAAAGTTGCTTCAGTGATATTGTAGCAACAGAAACTCATCGTCATTCTTGTTGTGCGTCAACATGGTGGACAAGATTCAGTATACAGACTCACCCGGAAACACACCCAGAGATGCATTTTAACGTCTCAGCTGAAGTTGGTTTAGCATGACTCTGTGTGTGTATGCATGAACAGGGAGACTTGTTCGACAAGAAGGGAGACTTGTTCCTGGAACCGTGAGGTGCCGTTTCTGTGGGATCACAGCAGAAGAAGTGCAATCTGCCAGCGTTGAGACCCCGTCAACAACAGAATAGAGGTCCTTTGGAGTAACCAACGGTTGACAGTAGCATCGCAACCGTTAAGTCGTCGATGAATGATCCCACCTCAATCCCAAACAATTGAGGCGTCACCTCCCAGCACCGCCTTGTACCACCCCATGTCGTGTGAGGAACCGTGTCAGAATCATGTCCTCTCCATTGTACACTGAGTGCCCGAAACTCATGAATAAGTTTAAAAAAAAAAATCGTAATTCAGAGTCAGTTGAGTTGTGATGCATTACGCACATCTAGTCATGTGTTACCACTCTTTCAACTTCCTCTTTCGAGATGTTTTCGAGCAGTTTCCGTTTCTTTTACGGTTAGCATGAGATATGAAGTGAAGGGCCCTATGAAGTTCTTCGAGTACCTTTTCCCGAGTCACTCCTTCGGCGATTATGATACGGATTTACTGAAGTTTGCTATTATCTATTTCAAGACTCTCCTGCTCAATTTTGGACGAGAGTTCGGTCGTTGAAGCAAGTAATAAATAAAATTGATGATCTGCATTGAAGACTTGGAAACCCAGGTAGTTTGATGGACCTTCTATTTTATGTTCGTGTTAGGACTGTTATACAGTAGAAGTACACGAGTTATACATCTCTACAGTTATGTCTCAAAAGACACTAGAACATACATATGTATGAAAGTGTAAATTACTCATTGGTGATATAATCTCCTCATATTTCCCACATGGTATCAGAGCTAAGTTGTGATTAGAAGGTTTGTCTCTTGAAAACATGAGTATGGACGAAAAATACTTTGATGGTTGGATTGAGGTTGATGTTAATCAGAAAATCCTCAATTCCATAGAAAGTTGTTTATATCTAATACTAAAAAAGTACAATTAATGAATAAATTAAAAATAGAAATTTCCAATAACAGTGATATTTTTTTACATAAACAATCATGCAAGACGTCAAATCTAGCATGGAAAAAATTAGTAAGATCATTCAAATTTTAAGATGCAATAACAAAAATGTATCTCAACAATAAACTATACACTACTTGGTCCCGGGCATCGCAATCGGAGCCAACTGTGCGGTGGTGTGTATGAATTATTCCCCCTTCACCAGAAACGCAGTACCCGAGTCCCGTCAAAGAAGCCAATGAAGCGACCTCCAAGAGCTGCCTTAGAGACGCTGTTCCCCGACCTCCATGGCCCCGCTGTTGATGTTTGCTGGTATTTTCCGTCCATTTGCAGCCAGCCCACGGATCATAGACCACAAGATCACAAACCATAAGCCCACAGGATCACAGACCAGGAGGTCACAAGACACAAAATCTCAAGTGTCGATAAACACAAACAACAAAAACAAACAGCAACAATCAAAAACACTACTATCTAGTAGCAAATGGATACAAAGTTCATCACTAACTTAGATCTGATGAAGAAGTGGGAGCGCTCTAGAGCATTCTCACGTAGAGAAAGAAGAGATCCACAACCCCTAAATCTTGGCAACATAAACATTCACAGCAAATGATATTCCAGCAGATGAAATCACAGCGAATGAAACTTGTATCCTAGTGAAAGTGTTCGGACTATTATACAGTTTGAGTAAACAAATTATACATCTCTACAGTTATGTCTTTACACTAAGAGGTGGGTCCTCTCGGTGGACACTAAAATGTGAATAATTCATTCTAAATATAACCTCCTCATATTTTCCACAGTCCGATCCTTGTGAAAATTTTGTAAAGGTTCAGGACTAATCTTGATCATATCCAGCCATGGAACATCGCCATGTTCTCACTTTCTACAGGAACACTTCGAATGACCATATGAAACGTTTTGCACAGTCGTTCACTCCACATGCCATTCAAAATCTTTGTGTTCTATTACAAATTCATGTTGTGAACCGGAAACCAATAGGAGTTGGAAAATATTATCAGTTTTATTCTTGATCTCAGAACTACACTCCCAATATACTTGAGAATTTCTACAAGATTAGGATCCTACTAAAATACACGCCAATCTCTATAAGAGAGTGTGGAATCACTTATTAGCTTAAATCCTGAGTACAACGTATTACGAGGAGAGAGCGAGGGAGGCTGAATCAAAATTCTATTCCGGGCTCAGTTCGCGTCGGTGGACATGCTCCCACGATTGCATCCTGATTTTCAAGGCAAATCGATATAATGCAAAATCGAGTGCTGTTTACAAGAACAATAGGGCAGTGGAGAGAGCTCCGAATGAAACGACAATGGAAAAGGTGATGGTAAGGGCAGAGGCAACAGCAGGCTGGCCGGGGCTGGTGCTCTGGCCCTGGTTGCTGTAGGAAACCATGACGGAATCCTGAGCCTGTAAGCAAGTCGGGACGAGGATGTAGTTCATGTCGTTGTAAGAGACGTCAATGTGTTTGATGTTCTTGTGGTTGCAGAAGGAGGAGGGGATGGAGCCCGTGAGGTGGTTGGACTTGAGGTCCAGCTTCTCCAGGCTTTGGATGCCGGCTAAGTTGGAGGGGATGTCATCTCGGAGATTGGCGTTGTTGATAGTGATGGACACGAGGTTGTTGGAGAATTCGCCCCACTGCAAGGGAATGGGGCCATTCAAGAGAACCCACTGGATCTTGAGCTTTCGCAGATAAGTGAGGTTCACCAGCCCTGCGCCTACGGTTCCCCCTTGGTAACTTGTGTCGCGGTAGGTCTGCTGATTATACGCTGACGTTCCCTTGATCTCAAGCTCCAGGATGGCGCCATCTCCCTCTCGACACTTGACGCCGCTCCATGTGCAGCAATTAGTGCTTGCATCCCAGGTTGAAAACACCATGTTCCTGTCAATAAACCCCGACTTGAAATCTATCAATATCTGCGTATCCGTGGGCGAGCAGTTCCACGCTCTGCATCCTGAGATGGCCAACAAGAGCCCTACCGCAATTTGAACGAGCAGATCAACCTTCCTTGCTACATTTCGGTCGCTTCTCATTTTCTTTGCGACCCCAACCATCTCTTCCGAATTCGGCGAATTGCGCAGCAGAAAAAAAAATATCAACTTGACTCTGTTCAACGTACCACAAAATCAGCCATCAAAGGTAGATTCTAGTCGTAGAAATCAAGTGAGAGACAAACAGCGGTCAAATTCTGAGATTGGCAAATTCGAAAGTAGGCAATCTGCTATTCTACTCCGAGCTAAGGAAACTCAAATGGCATCATTCATCGATTCTAAAACAACTGAGTTTCTTATACTTTCAGAAACTAGAAGAAAGATAGAAACCTACAAATGCGTCCAAATGGATAGCTGGGCTTCAAACACCGCAGGTAATGGATGGCGCTGACTGGAGCTTTACTCTGAATATCAGAAATTCAACGGCAAAGAGTAGAATGCTAACTCCAGAGTAGTCTGATCTCATACAATGTGGTTGCCGTTCACTCGGTGTACCGCAGCTTCACCGTTACACACTAACTCCGGGCACAGCGCGTGTATTAACACAGTAAATTGGGAAAAAGCTAAAGGCATGTATCGAGTAGAGCAGAAGAACTTCGCAGCTCTCTTGTCATTGAAAGCAGTCTTACTTACAGGCAGTGAGACAGACTGCAACGACAGAGCGTGCAGAGACCGGTTCAACGAGAGGCAATCGGAAGCAGACGGATCCTAGTCACCTATCCATGATTGAAGCTCTGTCCAAGCAAAAATGTCATTTATCACAGCTCACCGCATCCCATTCATCAGAACCCCACTCAGCTTCCTATAATCTAGCTCTCTCTGTCCACTTCAGTACTACGGTTCAGCAACAACCTCAGTACTAGCTCACAACATCCATGAAGCCTCCAGGACCATGGAACTGCAGGAACAGCCAACCTGAACTGCTACAGGGCCAACATATGGGCACCTTTTCAGAAAAAAGCAGGCAACCTCAAGCCATATTTTCTAACGAAATTAACCCGCACGGCCGAAACTGTTGGTTACTGTAGAAAGGTATACGACTGATCTGATCTGAGCTGTACTCTAAGTGTGGTTTTAATAAATCAAGTGGGACGTTGAATAGGTGGTGAGAGAGAGATTCGGTGGCATCAAGCTGGGCGAGGGAATCCAAAGGAGTTCATTGGATCATGTGAATGGTGACTTGGTTGGTAGACGGCGATTGCCGGTGGGGTTAGTCGATGCGTCGCGTTCAGGAGGAGGAGAGAGCTGAGGAGTAGTAGCGATGGATGGTGGTTGAGTAAGACCAGCAGGTACCAATTGAAACTGGTGTTGAATCGGTGAAGGCCAAGGACAGCATTAAAAAGGCAATTGCTTCTACTTCTCCTCCTCTTCCTCCTTAGGATTGGATCGCCTGAACAGAACCGAACTGCACTTAACTGAATAGGAATCACTCAACGCCCCTTGTCAGGCCTTAGGCAGCATTATTGCACGCTCTTTGCAGGCTTTAGCGATGATCGTGGCTTCCTTGCTTGCTTGCTTCCTTGCGAAGTGCCTGTAGGTGGGTTGGTGAAATTCAAGGGGTTCAATTTGAGGAGTAACTACCCATCTCATGGCTTGATGTTCTTGTTACAAAATAGGCATAGAAAGAACAAATCAGTGAATAAAATTGTGTGATTTATTTATCCATGTGTGTATGATTCAGCTGCAATGGAGGATTCTATTTTGCTTCATAATTCTATTTCAATATCTTTTTCTTATACAGAGTGATCAAATTATTCTAAATCTTTCAAGTATTGGTTTGAGATTTTGAACAGATAACATTTTTTGTAGAAGTTATTTTTTGATGTTTCTATTGTGGTGTACTAGTTACTGATTAGAAGAAATGTAGCACAATTCCATGTCCATTTGACTTGAGGACATTTTTAAAAACTATATATTATTGGTTTTATAATTTAGAATAAATAAAGTGGATATTATTTTAGAAAGCACCCCTTAATGTTTGCTCACCATTTATTAACTTTAACTTATGTATGCAAAATTAGCTATATTAATACTACTTATTTTAGAAATCTCATTTGAAATCTTATAAAAGAATCTAAATATGAAATATATAATAAGATACATCTAGGATTTTTTAAAAATTGATAAGATATACTTAGGATAATTGGAACCTTTATTTAAGTTGTTTAAGATTGCCAAATAGGTATTTCTAAATATTATATGTATTATTTTGGATTGTAAATCCAACTTCAAAGTAAGATTAAATCCTTACACAACCAAATGTCTAGTATATTTTGAAGTTGATTTTTACAAACACGATAATGACATAATTGTTAGGTAATTTGCTAAAGGTGCATTGATATAGAGCATTACATTAATTGAGAAGAAATTTTTATTAGTAGCTTTGAATAAATCTTGGAATGTTAACTTATACCACTAAAACCTTTTAATTTGTAAAACATGAACTATGAAAGATTGATAGTAATCCAATTTAATTAGTAATAGTAGGTTTTTATTAGTAGTGACAAGTATAAAATTTAGAATTGAAGCTACATACTATGGATTAGTTTTAATAAGTAACATAGAAGTATCTAGATAAATAATCCAAAATTTATGCAATATAACCTCAAGTGCTTTGGATGCAAGAAGTGGAATCATAGTTATTAGTAATAAATTTGATCTGCTAAACATAATAAGTAGGAATCTTGTGAAAAAATTAGAACTTGCACTAGATTTTGATGTAATTGAGATATAGATTCTCTTATAGTACAGTTGTACTCTACTTAGTTATTTGCTTCTAAAATATAAATATCTTTATAAATTTAATATTGAACAGTAAATAGATCATAGACTTGATAGCTTTTGTTTTTGTTATTATTGCTATGAAGAATCCTTTGAGTTTAAAATTCCAAATTGCCACAATTTGATTAATATTTGTAAATGAATAAAATTGATTCAAAAAAATGTAAATATTTAGCTAGTAGTTTTTGTCTAAAAAACAATTTCTTAAATATTTTCTTTAAATATATTTTTAAAGATGGAAGTTTTTAAATGATAGATACTATTTAAATTACTTCTTTTGAGAAGACTTTAAAAAGATATTTTTCTATTAAGAAGTAATAAGTGATATCTATTAATGCATAATTTGTAGTTTGACCACACTATTCTTATGAGGCATGTAAGGTATAATGAACTAATATTGAATATTGAGTTGATCACAAAATACTTAAAACCTTTAGAATGTATATTTGTCTCTATTATTTGAATTCAAGGTCAAAATAATTTCATATTATCTTGCTTGCATCAATTTCTAAAAGATTTTTTTTTTTTATTGTATCAGCATTTCTTTTTCTTTTTTTTATAAAAAAAGACCTATGTTTTGCAAGATTTTTTTTAATAAAGTTTTCAAAATACTTGGATCCACCTAATTATGGCTTCTAAAATGGTCTATAAATATTGATATGAATAAATTATAATATTAAAAATCTATAGTCATCTTTGAAATTGGTATAAAAACTTTTTTTTCTGTAAAAATAAGTAATATATAGTATATTTAGATATCACAATGTTAATAATTCAAAGATATCATTAGAATTGATCATTCTCATAATCCTATCTTTATAAAAGTATCACAATTTATTATGCCATAAATAAGCCTTTGTAACATGATTTGCTACTCTAATATTGACTTTAAGAGAAGGTAATAAAGTAATTTTTATTAAAACAATATATACCATATCTCAGCTTTTAAGATGCATATGTAATTACTTGTTTGATAAGACATTTGTAAATTTTGCACCTTTTAGCTAAAAAGTTCTATAGACTATAATTACAATTAACAATTATACCAAGAAAAAATATATTCTTATAAATAAAGGATAAATACAATATCTTTAAGATGCTCTATAAATGTCATTATTTAAGAATTGTATGCTAACGCTGCAAATTCCTAATATATTATGATTGCATCTTCTTATAGATTTGATATTTGGTCTTTAGACTTGATAGAGGTTTAAAAATATTCTTTGACTTCTATTAATGTGATACATGGTACCATAGTCAATATACTATAATATTAGAGATAAATTTAATTTAATAATATTTATTTTAATTTGAATTCCTAAGATAATTCTTTCAAAAATACATGCTTCAACACTTAGAAGATTAACTAAATCTATGTGGTTTCTATTTTCATTGAATTAATCATGATCATTTTATTCTATTATATTTTCTTCAAATCATATATATTTTTAATTTTGAAGCAATGCATCTTTAAATCCTTTATCATTTTAATCAAATCCTTCATGCTATATTTTTATTCAAGATATATAAGCAATCTTCAATAATTGTATATCTTTTAATATAGTTGATTAGGTTTTTTTGGTTTGAATCTTAATTGATTTTAATTTTAAACTTATTTTGGAATAACTATTTGATAATTTAAAACTATTCCATTAATTACTATAGCAATTCTAGAAAAAAAAATTATTTAAAGATGCATTATAATTATTATAGACATCTAATAAGAAGATTTTAGAAACATTCTTAGAATATTTTATTAGATTTTAGATGGTTTTAAGAAATTTTTAAAATATTCTAATAGAATTTTTTTTAAAATATTTTTAGAATATTTTAGAAAATTCTAAAAATATCTCAAAATATTTCAATGGATTCTAAAAAGTTCTAAAAGGATTAAGGAAGTCGTTTAAGATGGATCCTCCAAACAACATGAAAGCTTCTCAAGAAGCTTCCTAATATCTAGTACATATTGGAGTGAGGCTCAACAAGACGTCTTTTGGAGCTATAGCTCACCTCTCTTGATATTGACCTTGTATTCATTTAGTTTAATCAAGTTCATGCTTGCTTTCTTGTTGAAACTCTTCTATTTGATTTCTTGTTCAATTTGTTGTCATATTATGTATATTCTTGTTTGAGAATGCATTAGACACCTAGCCATGGAAGGTAAATAATAATGAAACAATAATTTTAGCAAGTCTAATAGATCCTTAAATAAATTTCAAGCAATTTCTAATAATCCAATTAAACTTTAACCTATCAAAACAAATTTAAAAAAAAAAAATCTCAAAAGAAATATAAAGAATCCTATAGAAATATTAAAAATAAAAATCCTAATGAAATACTAATTAAAATCCTAAATCCTAGATAAATCCTAGATAATTTCTAAACCAAATCCTAAGAAAATCCTAAATCAAACCCTAATCAAATCCTAGATCTTAAACAAACTCTTAACAAATCCTATAACAAAAAAAAACCTTGATAACTAATGATCAAACTATTGATATCAACTCAAAATTTGTACACTTTTTAATGTCTTAGTTAGAAACAAGCACAAGAAAGATGAAAAAAATCCCACTAAGTAATTGAGAGAAATGCAAGATAAATCAATTGGATGTTGAGTGGCTTCCTTCTCCAAGTTGAATACTTAACTTCTAGTGCCAATATTTCCTTCTTGAATTATTAAATTACTCTCAAATATTTTTTTAAATCTTGAAAATCAAGTTTAATATTTATATAAAAAAAAAATTCAATCCAATTAATAAATTGCTAAAGATTTTAGAAACACTCATTAATCCTCAAATTCCAATTTCTTAGACCTCAATCCACAAAAACCTTTATATTCTTCAATCTAATTGTTTGATTGATCCCAAAATTAGCATACAAATATATAACTAATACATCAATACATTGCCAAAACTTTATCCCTACACACACCAAAAAAACTCAAGAAACCCTCAAATTTGTTAAAATATTTTTATTTTTCAAATCCTAATCCAATCAAAAACATTACTAACTTTGAAAATCTCTCAAAATCTCAATATTGATTTAAACGACATGAAACTAATGCTTAAAAATCTCTCTTTAATTTTTCTCTCAAATTTAATTCTTCAATCTACCAAAAAATTCTAGAATCACTATAGGTATGTGATTTTGTATCTTGAGATCTAATTTCAATCTAGGTTGACAACCGGTCCTCTTTGGACATCAATTTTTGGCTTCTTAAGGTAAATTTTTCCAAAATCTACTCTTAATTCCCTCTCATATATGC